TATATATATATATATATATATATATTTCATCATTTTTCATTTATTTTATATTAAAAAATTTATCTTCATAACTCACACATCTTTATCTTCATAACCTACATTTTTAATAATCTCTAACTCCCATGCCTTTCATATTCAAAAACTCTAAATATTTAATGTGTAAATTTATGACAACTTATTATATGTTCCTCCATATGTACCTATATAAGGACTTCTATGTTTCGAAAAAATATGATTGATACTAACATTATATTATGCTCTTAATGGTTTAAGGTATCTATATGTCAAAGGCTATAGAGTGGAAAAGAAAAACTATACTAAGGTACGGTTTAAATTCTATTCTTTGTTTTTTGTTTAAAGATAAATGCACAAAGATATTTCATACAGGTGTGGATCTAAAGAAGAATTTTTAAGAGGAAGTGCCAATTAATGAGGCGAAGATCGAAGTAAAGGCTATTTTACAATTCTCAGTAATGGTCTTTGATTTTGTCACCTTTAGATTTATGTTGTATAAGTTGAAGTAGTGATTTTTTTCAAATAATACAAAGAGATTTTGACATCTGTTTTTTATTGTATATATTTATACTTTACAATTGCAATAACTTTGAGTTGTGAATTTTTTCTATACCGAAGTGACATTCTAATGTGCTTTTCTTTTCCTGTTATATATAGATTTATCATTTTTATAAATATATTTTTCTATATGTTCTTAATTCTTTTTGCCCTATTTCTTTCTTTTTTTTTAATCGTTCTTCCTTGTCTAAAGTTGTTTCTCTTCTAACACTCATAACTCCTTAAATTTCCTTCAAATTTCGTAAATTTATAACATGTTTACTCTAATATTCTTTTTCAAAAATCTCAACTTCTTTCCATGTTTTCATAATACTCAAAGATTTATTTATTTTTGGTGTTCAAAAGAAAAGGGAAGAAACCAAAGCAAATGAGGATGAGATCAAAAGAAGAATGATCCTACAAAGAAAAGTGTGGCGTTGTGATATTTCTTGAAGAACAAAGATAATTCAACCACCATCATTGTAAAACTTTACTTGTATTGTGAAGGTTGTGCCAAAAGAATACAAACGTTCAATTCACGAGGCATTAATTTATGACATTGACAATTTGTATATAACATTAAGTTAACATATAATGTAATGTAATTAATTAAGAAAATCACATGTTATAATATGTTATTACTGATCAAAATTTTTAACATTGTGAATGGGTAGGCTTTCGGTAGTTTAAAAATCACTAGACAACGAGTTAGTAACTTTATGAATAAAGTATTTTTGATTTTCGGGTTATACTATAGATGATTGGAAACTTATTAAAGTTCATAATCAACTGTCAAACAATACCCATTATTCCAATGTTTGGATTTACACACAATTGATTTTGGCTCTTATCCTATTAAGCGTGTCATTGACGGATTTTCTTATTAAAAAATTTGAATGTTGCAGTGAATGATTGGTGAATTTTATTCTTTAAAGTGTGTCATTATCTCTAATTTAATGTTGCAGTTACTCAATTAAATGTATCCCATAAAAATATGTTTTAACTACCTGAATAATGAAATAAATTAATGGAATAAAAATTTTAACACTGACGCTGCAAGGTAAGAGGAAGAGGTTTTCCTAATGATCTTTTATCAAAAAGTATGTATTTTTTCACATAGAAATTTTCAGCTTCTCAATATACAACTAACAATTTAATTTATTTTATTTGTGTAATTAGTAGTTTTAAAAATCTATGCAACTTTTATTTTAATCTTAGATTTTTATTTTTATTCGTCTTGGACTTTCTTAATTAGATAAAACTCAAGTAATCTTCATTGGTAATATACAATTAACTATACACTACATAGATTATTTGCTACAAAAAACTAAATTTATAAATTAAACCAAATGTACTTTATTTATTGGCAATTTTCTTTCGCGTCAAAAGAGGGTTAATATCTACATTTGTCATTAACTTGATAATTTTTTTAAATTTATTGATGTTTCTTAAATCCCGCGCAAAGCATGGGTAAGTTTACTAGTTTTTCTTATATAAACAAGCTTCTCAAATAATTTGGCCAAGCACAAACAGTCTAAAACACTCATGTTTATCCCATTGAATTTTAGATTTTGAGTGTGGCTCTTGTCCCTAGCCACCAATTCTACCTCAGAGCTGCAAGGTTATTATTCCTCAGGTACAATTCAATTATTCCCTTCAAAAAACCAAATTTCATACCACCCATAATGATATTGTCAATCAAGGTTGCATTTTTAAGAAAACCCCACCTAAAAAATCAAATTTTGTGCTTAAAAACAAGGCCAAAACATGGAATTCAAAGTCCAAAGTTAGTGCTGCTAGTGTATTTAGCAGTTCTTGGTTAGGTAAATGGAATGAAACCCATAATGAAATTAAGCCAAAAGAGCCCCAAATTGTGCTTAGCTATAGGAATAATGGGGGATACATCTAGTTCTGATTGTTAGATAAATAATGGGATGAAATAATCTGGCTTCGATAGTGTAATCATTGTCCTTAAGAAATTTAAGCTTCCCACTTTGTTGTTGCAGCCTGCAGGGATAATAGCAGAATTCCTTAAGGATTTTACAAAGCATCTGAAATTGGAGTTTCAACAATTAACTCGAATTTCACACAAGAACAAAATGTTTGTGAGTTGTAGAAAATAAGTAGAAGAGAAAGAGATGAAAATTTTCAGATATCTTTTATTTTGGAGATGATACAGGTATTTATAATAACTCTAAGAGCCTGTTGGAATTAACAGACTCATCTTCTCATAACATGTTTACCTTTTAAAACCAATAGTCACCTTTTTTAATTTAAAAAAAAATCTGTTAAAAATGCTTTCTGAAATTTAATTTAAAAATTAATTAATAAAATAATAAGTGGCTAAAATGGTAAAAATTGCACGGGGCGCCCTATTTGGTCGCCCCCATTTAACCTATACCCATTTTTTTTATAAATCTTTTAACTTGTACCCACCTTTTAAACAACTTCAGCTCCTTTCTCCTCCTCCTTCGCCTCCTTCGTTTTCTTTATCTTCTTCTTTTTTTTTTCCGGTTATTAGTTTAAGATGCTTTTTGAGGCTTGTGGAGTTCAATAACGTTAAGAAGTACTGATGAAAAAGCTTTGCTATTGTTTAAGTAGGATGCATGGAAATGCATTTTGCCTATATGCGTCCAACAGACAAAATCTAAATCCATAGTCATTTAAGAGATAGGTTTCAAAAATAACTGCAAAAAGGCAACATACATCTACTTAATTGTGCTAGTAATCAATAAGAAAACAAATTTATGCATCAATATCCTGTGCACCCTTTTGAGAATTGAATATCAAAAAACAGAATCAAGCATTAATTTTTACTGAATGAGACTTTCTGTCCTTCGTTTCTGTTCCAATTGTTTTCATTGTTATGTGCAGGATATTGGCTGACCTTGGTTATCATAGAAGTGCCAAGAAATGTAAAGAGAAATTCGAAAACGTTTACAAGTATCACAGAACTAAAGATGGTCGTGCTTGTCGTAATGGTTGAACCAGAGGATACAATAGCTGCAGTGAAAGCATACATTCAAGAGGAAAAAAGGATCTCTTTTAAGAAAACTTCAACTATACAAGAACTTCAGCTCTAGAGCTGAAGTTTCCCAGTTACAACACAAAAACTTCAGCTCTTGAGCTGAAGTTTCCAGTTACAAAGACCAAAAACTCAGCTTTAGAGCTGAAGTTCCCCAGTTACAAAGACAAAAACTTCAGCTCAACAGCTAAAGTTTCCCAGTTACAAAGGCGCTGCACCCGCCGGCCTACGCCGCTCATACGACTCCCACCATGTGAAGGCAGCCCCAGTGAACTGAAATGCGGTGAATGCTACCCCGCTGGTCTCCAAAATCCCTGCTGTCCGAAGCATACGCTGACACTAATCCAGAAATCCCTGGGCATCCTCGCCCTGAGCACCACTGAAAAATGGAGGCTAGAGCCTACTGAACCTCTCAAGACGACGCTGCTCATCGTCTGGCATAACTGGGACTACAAAGTCCTGAACTGGTGCGACTGGCGCAGCTGGGGCAACTGGTGCAACTGGCGCAACTGGCTGAGCTGGGACTGCTCCCGGTGTCTGCAATCCCTGAACAACCTGCTCCGGTGTGCGAGCAGCGGGGGTCTGATGACCTCTCCCGGTCTGTGAGGTAGCTGCTGCAGTAGTGGCTGAGACTGCTTGAGCCAGGCCAGTGCAAACGGATAATATCTGAGCCAAAGCCTCCTGGAGGCCAGGAATCACAATAGGCACTGCTGGTGCCTGCACAGGTGCTGCTGGAGCATCTACAGCTGGAGGCTGGTCCTGAGCCGGGGCAGCTGGTGGATCTACAGGTGCTGCCCTCGCTGGTCTGCCCCTAGCACGACCACGACCGCGTCCACGGCCTCTAGTGCCCTCAGTAGGTGGTACCGGTGAGCGTCCGTCTCGTCCTGTAGCGCGGGTCCTCGTCATCTGCGAGAGGATAGAACACAGAAGTTTAGTTCCCGGATCAACAAAATAGTACGACAAGAATTTCAAGAATGTGAAGTTTTCCTAAGGGTTCTGCAGCCTCTCGAGGATAAGTATGGACGTCTCTGTACCGATCCGCGAGACTCTACTAAACCTGCTCATGACTCGTGAGACCTAGTAACCTAGGCTCTGATACCAACTTGTCACGACCCAATTCCCACCCGGTCATGATGGCGCCTCTCGTGAAGACAAGGCCAGCCAACAGAACAATCAACACTGCTTTTGAAAATTTCTTAGCACAACAGGTTTAAACCATAGATACTGATTAATCATAAGTGCGGAAATAAACGTAATATAACGGGGAAAAACCATCCCAAACTCAGCCCGACGATCGGGGTGTCACAAGTCACGAGCTACTACAGAGTTGGTGAAAATACTACAAGTCTGGAAATATAGTCTGAAGATGAATAAAATATGCAGAAGATAAGGAAGAAAACGGGGCTGTGGACGTCGACATCTACCTCGTCTCTCCTAGTCCGCCTGGTCTGGAAGGAGATCAGCGCTCAGGTACGAACTAAGCTGTGCCTGTCTTTGCACACATGGTGCAGGAAGTAGTGTGAGTACTCCGACCCAGTGAGTAATAAAATTAAATAACGACTGAGAACATAAAATCCCACAAGGGCACAAATAATGCTATCTCAAGCAGCAACATCAGATAAACAGTACAAACCAGTGAAATATAGGAAGAAAATCTCTTTGAAAACAATTAATAAAACAAGTATGCTCAAGTATGGTCAGCCATTGTTACCTGACCGGTCAGCCATTGTTACCTGACCAAACGCGTATTACAGTGCCATTGTTACCACTGGTCAGTCATTGTTACCTGACTGGTCAGTCATTGTTACCCGACCAAACGCGTATAACAGTGTCATTGTTACCACTGTTCAATAATTAATCACTCTAGATGGGTACCCGCGCTCACTGTGGGTGTGCAGACTCCGGAGGGGCTCCTACAGCCCAAGCGCTATCAACAAGGCCTGAAAGCCTCCTCACCTCACTCATCATGCCCTCACATAAGGCCCTCGGCCTCAATCAGTCCAGAAATAGTCAACAGTCCCTCGGGCAACAGTAAAGCAATGATACTCAGCTCAAACAATAGTTCAAATATCAGTTTAAAACTCCAAGTTTGAGTAAATATGGCTGAGTTCAAGAAAACAGTGTAAATCACATGGACTGAGTTCAAATAATATTTCAAACAGTGAGGAAAACAGTGATGATAGTTCATAAAGAGTTCAAACAGTCGGCACTAAGCCCCAAATATGGCAATAAGCCCAAATCATAGTAAAAACAACAAGTCATTGCTAATACGCGGTAAAGTATCATCCGGACTGGACCAAGTCACAGTCCCCAATAGTAAACGACCCCGCGCTCGTCATGGAACGCGTATCTCATCTCAACATAGCACCAAGTTGTGCAAATCCGGGGTTTCAAACCCTCAGAACATCATTTAAAATCATTACTCACCTCTAGCCGGTCAAAGTCTAGCTCGCTATGCCTTTTCCCCTCGAATCGCCCTCCTCGCGCGTCGAATCTGATCAAGACCACAAGAAATACATCACAATAGGCTAATGGGTCATAACCCAATCGAAAAGACTCGAAAAATATCAAAAATCACGAAGTTGGCAAAACCCGAGCCCCGGGCCCACTTCTCGAAAAATTACGAAATTCACATCTTCGGATTCCTCGTCACGCCACGAGTCTATACATATCAAAATCATCAAAATCGGGGTCCATTTGACCCCTCAAATCCCTATTTTAAACTCTCTTAAATTCAAGCCCTAAACCACCATTTTTGACCTTTGATTCCTTGATTATTCAGTCCAAATTCATGTTTATACACCATAAAATCAAGCTCTAAGTCCAAGAGTTCATACCTGATAATAGCCCTCGAACCCCTCTTCAAAATCGCTTCAAAGCTCTCAAGGTTCGGAGTCCAAAATGCTACTCTTTCAAAAATCCTCGAGGAAGATGTTTTCACTTAACCTGCCAGTTATTTCCGCTTCTGCGGATTAATCCCGCTTTTGTGCCTTCCGCTTATGCGGTCAACGTCCGCTCCTGCGGACCTTTCACTTAAGGCGACTTTTCGCTTCTGCGGTCCAACTTCGCATCTGCGGGACCGCTTAAGCGACCCAATGTCCTGCTCCTGCGGAACCTGACCTGGGCTCCTATTTCCGCTCCTGCGAGGCCTAGCTCGCTTCTGCGAGACCGCATCTGCGATCTCCTTTCCGCAGATGCGGAAACACCTGCTGCAACCAAAAACCTGCAATTTTCCAACTTCAAATTTCTTCCCTAAATCACCCCCGAGGCCCCCGGGACCTCAACCAAAGTTACCAACACATCTTAAAACATTATTCAAACTTGTTCCAATCCTCAAAACACGTCTAACAACGCTAAAACCATTAAATCACATCGAATTCAAGCCTAAGTTTCTTCAAAACTTCCGCAATACGCATTCGATCAAAACTCGACCCAAAACATCTCCGAATGACCTGAAATTTTGCACACGCATCCAAAATCACCTAACGGAGATACAGAAACTCTCGGAATTCCATTCCGACCCTCGGATCAAAATCTCACCTACCAACCAGAATTTGCCAAAATACTAACTTCGCCAATTCAAGCCTAATTCTACACCGGACCTCCAAAACCAATTCCGATCACGCTCCTAAGTCACAAATCATCCCCCGAAGCTAACCGAATCTCCGGAAATCACATTCGAGCCCTCTAACCAACTAGTCAACTTCTGGTTGACTTTTCCAAAACAAGCTTTCCTTAGAGAGACTAAATGTCTCATCTCCTACCAAGACCAAACCAATCCAACTCGATTACCCCAAATACCGATAATGAAGCATAGAGAAACATAATATGGGAAAAACGGGGCGGTAACTCACGTGACGACGGGCCGGGTCGTCACATTGCCTTTGCTACTTCAGCCCCGTATGCTGAAGTTATGCGAAAAAGCGGATACGCTTGCACTTTTTTTAGCAAAGCGGGCACAAGTTAAAACGTGGCATAAAAAATGGGTATAGATGCAAATGCCCCACTAAAATGTTAATCCCATGCTAATCGGCCCAAATTGCCAAGTGCCCAATCTTGACTATTAATAATATAGTCAAATTCCAATTTCCCTCCAAAAAAATCCTTAAAAATATTCAAACTATATAAGACAAACTTCCTTTCTTTCTTTTTCCAACGAGGGACAAAACAACCGCTTCTCAAATACTATCATCAAACACTAACTAATCTAACACTGATTATGAAGAAAGTAGTAGTACAATGGACAGAATTGTTGAGAAACTAAAGAAATTTGGGCTATCTCAACCATTTTCATTTCTTCAATACATTCTTAGCAAAGCTGTAACACTGCCATTTAGAATTATAATCTCACTGATAACTCATTCACATCCAATAAAACCTATACAAGGTTTCCTGTTTTCCTATTTTGATTTGGTAAGAGAAACTACTCTAACAATACACTTTCTCTTTTCCTTTCCTATAAAGAAATTTAAAGCTCTAAACCATCTAATCCATTCAGTGAAATTGGCCCAAGGGAATCACCTGTTATGCTTGCAAGAACGTCGAAATTCCTACGATCATCGTTCCATCTCACAGCAAACACCATAAATCGGACAGCCACTTCGTTTTCAATCCTCGCGTGATCATCACATAAGAAGAATGGTTTCTCACCCGAAACGTAGTTGTGATTTGGCATCTTTCGAACATTGAGATTAACAAACTGCATAGGTCCACATTTCAGAATGACTCCATGGCCGAAAACATTATTTTTGCTCCCATACCCCAGGTGTGGCCGCACTAAACAGTATCATGTTGTAATGATGTAAATGGCCACAGGTACGGGGAAGAGATCATGCCACAACTGAGTAGCAGGCTCTCTCAGAGACAAGTAAAATTTATCCATATTCATAAGCTTGAATCGATAAATGCACCACGCATGGGCTATGAAAACTGGAAAAGATTAAAGAATGACCAAAGGCAAAGGCAGATATACAACAGCTAATAGCACAGATGGGAAATGCAAAACCAACAGATAGAGTTGTCTACTGCATAACCCAATGTCTTAATCATGTAATTTAAACCAACAATACACTAACGTGACATCCTAGTTATAATTAATACTATGAGCACAACAATTATTAAAACGACTCTACTGGTGATAAACTATAAGCACAATTATTATTCAAGGAGACACATCAACAAAACAACTATAAAGGAAACAAGCAATGGTACAATAATTAGGTATGTGGAAAGTAGAAGGAGCAGCCTTAAGACCGTCCACCATTGACAACAAGATTGGCATCTACCCCGAGGAAGAGAGTGGGTGGTAATGCAATGTAGAAAAAACACATTTAAGAGATATAGGACTGTAAATTGAAGTACAGAGATATAAATAAGACAGAGGAACTAATATTAACTGTTGAAAGAATCTTGCATGATTGGGAGACCATTCATCCAACCAGCATACTCAAGAGAGGCTTCAAGACAGTGGAAGTCTGCTCAATAGAGACTGGGAATGTAAAATACAGCGTGGTTGGACACAGGCAAACAGAGCAGCACTGGGCCTGCCAAACTTGGCTCACGAGAGTCGAGCAGGGAATTCTGCTTGTACCTCAATTGCCGAGAGAACTTTTGGAGCTTTTAAAATACGCCACAGTTCTGCAAAGGAATTGAAAAAAAAATTACAATAAGTGAAATATCAATTGTTTTGTAAAGTCTTTTCAGGATTACGCTCATTGAAGCAAAAGTTCCTTAAGCATGCCTTAAGCGTGCCTTTGACAACACTGATCTCCACTAATAAAAGTATTTAATACTTTGTATGTATTCAGTTGGTAAGAACTTTCATCCCGCCTCCCATGGTTTTAAAAGAAGGCTAGAAACATTAGTGACAATGAGGTCAGAAATTATAGAAGTTGAGACATATATCTAAATATATGATATGCCTTTGCAAGCTGCAAAATCAAAATATACCTTGAGATACCATCTTCTTCATTTACTTCAGTTTTCACAGTTACAAGATAGGACAAAAGTAAACACGAAAACTATGCAGCTGAGCATTACATCTTGACCAGCTCAAGAAAATCTCTTGCACAACTTAGCAAATAACAGTCCAAATTAAGAAGATAAGAGAAGGCAGATAAATAACTATGTTGTACTTCATCTTTTTATTTTCGCTTTCCTTTTTTTTAATGAAGTATCAATTTACTGTACTGTTCCTGCAACCTATACATGAGAACTGAAAAAGGTACTAAGTGAATATGATGATGGAGAGAGAGAAAATAGTGGTTGAAGGAAAACGAAAGAGTAAAAATGATTTCTCGATAGTACCCCACTACTATGGATAGAGGCATGGACATTCAGAGAACAAAACATCAATAAAAACAAAACAAAAACAAGAAAGTTATACAAAAGGAAGATGCAAGAAACCGGATGTGACTTTGAGACCTCATTAATTAACGAAAACTACAATGCTTTTGTTACAAAACAATGAAAAAACTGGTTCAACTTTTGATTATCAATATTTCTACGTTATCGAGCAGAGTTTAGCTAAGCTTATATCAATCTAGCTTGAGCACAATTTGAAGTCGTTTAGTATTCTAGTCAAGCTAACTGCTAACTTGGCTCAACTTAACATGATTATGCATCAACCCACATGATTATTGTGATCCACAAGATACTGTAGAGACAAAATAGAATAGTCTTAATATTCTTTTGGAAAACTAGGCTGATTCATAATATTGCTACGGTTGTGAACTATGTTGCACTATATTGAATGTCTAATGCTAAATAGAAGGTGGAAAGACACAAAAGAAAAGACGTGCATTGTAGTCTTAGGCATTGAAACCGTATCAATTACATATCACACCATCTTATACTTGCATAAAACTTTTGATGAGTACTCATTCCATTTCTTTTTCCCTGTTCTTTCTGATCATCAAGAACGTAAAATGTAACATCGTCTATTCGATTTCTTTTTCTTTATTTCAATCAGCACCTTGCTTGCAGGATCTGTTTTGTTTAGCAGACCAACTTACCATAGTTTTCTTTTGGTTATTTTTGAGGATCTAGCTCTAGAGTTCAATGAGCTAGTACGTGTATATTGACACTTTGGTTAAATAAAAAATTTCATTTGACCAAAAATATTGAACTCGTTAGTAGCACCTACTGTCACAGACTACATATTCATGTTAAACTTCACCGAGTGAATAGACATACTGAAACCTATGTTGCGGACTCTCCAAAATGATACCGCACCCGTGTCGGATCCTCCAAAAATACACTATTTTTGGAGGATCCGACACGCACCCAGCAACATTTTCGGAGAGTCCGAGCAACATAGACTGAAACCTTAAACAGAAATTCAACTAAAGGGCCATTGTGTACATTTAAGCATGGAGTGTTTGCAGCCTTGCATCCAAATGACGCTCCACTCCAACTTAATTTCTATATTTCAGTTTTTGCTTACCAATTCGACATAATTTGAGAATCTCATCAGACATGATAATTTCATCATTTAGAAAACTACTTTAGTCAAACATAATTAAAACACAAGTCATTAATTCAGAGATCTCTTCATTAATTCCAAAATCCAAATTGCGGGTTGATGGAAAATCATGGAAATTGTACCCAATCATCCACAGATTTTTTTTATAACCAAGAAATCTGGTGTTTTCAATTTGGATACTCCGTCGATAATAGGAGCACCCCTTTACCCTTCTCTACATAAATACTAGACATAGTTCACCTTCAGGATTAAAACTCAGGACATGTGTCCAGCACATATCATAGTGTTGTCAAGGGTGGATGTAGAGATCAAGTTATGGGTTCATCCGAACTCAGTAGCTTTAGCATAGACAATATATATGCGTAAAAGGATTCACTAAACAAGTACAAGTAATAGATTTTGAACTGTTAAATCAAATGGGTTGTGGTACAATTTTGAACTCAATCCGATAAAAGTTCAAATCCTGGATCTGCCTCTGCACACAAGGGTGTAGGTAGCTTTCAGGATACAGGTTCGGCAGAATTCAACAGTGAAATTCATTAAAATGTACAAAAATTTAATTTTGAACGCAGTTACTAGCACTTAAGGTCACCGTCCTAGAATTCAGAACTCATAAAGCTTAAAATCTTGGATCCACCTTTGTGTGCTGTACTACATTTGCCATAGAAAATTCTCATAACGAAAAGATTATAACAACCACATATCCACGTAAATCAAGAGTCAACCATTAAACCTTCTAAAGAGAAGCAAAACCCAAGAGCACATCATAGTAAATGGAAGAAAAACGGAGACCGATCAATCAAAAGCCAACAAAAAATCAACAGAAAACTACAGAAGATGGATTTATTGAAGGAAAAAAAAAACAAATTAGTATGAAATTCTTACCCAGAAAGAAGAAAACTTTGCAACTGAGGATCCGCTTACTGGGTACTGCCCATTTCTCCGCAACTTTTGTAACCTTTTCCTATTTTCAAAAGAATGTCATGTTTTGCCAAATATTTGGGAGCCAGAAGCATTTTTTTTGTTTTCCAAAATAGCACAGATCTTATAGTCCAAATCAAAAAGCAGTTTTTTCCTTTCAAAAAAAGTACTTTTTTTCAAAATTGAAGAAAAAATATACTTTTGAGTAGAAACCATTTTAGGGAACTAGAAAAAATTAACTTCTAGCCAAAAGTATATTTGAGACTTAGAAACACTTTTTAAAAATTTGATCAAAATTAATTGCTACTTTTCAAATTAATTAACCAAACAGAAATTTCTTCCAAAAGTGCTTTTAAAGAAAATACTTCTCAAATAAACTAATTTTAGAAATTTCGCCAAACAAGCTACATGTTTGGCCAATCTTTAGAACAATACTTTCCTTGCTACAACTCATGTGAAGCACGCGCGTGCATATATATATGACCACGTTTGGATGGGCTTGTTGTAAGTGATTTTTAA